CGGAAAAACCGAAGCTACCAGCCAAAACCGAGCCAAGAAGGTCGGTGACAAGCTCCGTTTCGACCACAAGTTCAGCCTCTGCCACAAGCCGTGTAATAAGTGAGATACATTTCGAGCGGTCTGCAAGTCCCGCATCCAGTTCCATATTCTACGAGAGCCACCCGCAAGGCGAGGGCAGTCGCTCCACCACGCCCAGGCCTAGGGTGAAAACAGATGTGACACGAATACCCTACAATGCCTCAATTCGATCTTTAAGCCCCCCGTCCAAGTCCACGATGACAGCGAAAGCTAGAGTAACAACTGCATCGTCAGTGAAACAGACAGCCACAAAACAAACTAAGACGACTACCACTCGATCCAGCAAAGACCTTGCAGGAAAGACTGTCAAAAAGATCGACAGCAGAATCGGCAGCCAAGGGCATGTGGAGACGAGGAGAATGATAACCCCGACACCCATTGCCACACACAGATATATGCAGCCCACTCTGTCCCACAGTATCCGATATGGGTTGAGTGGCGATGCCGAGGTCCAGCGGGTCTCTCCGCTTCCGCCGAAGTCCCCAGCACCGCCGAAATCACCAGCACCGCCTCAGACCAAAAGTATATACAGAACCCAGACAAGTATGACAAGTGCCTTGACAAAGTCCACATATTTGGAACGAAAGCAGAAGAAGTCGATTGTCGATAAGGTGCAGCCCAAAGAGCATTCGCAGATCAAGAGAGGTTCTCAGAGCGACAGCAAGGAAACGCTGAAGAGCACCGAACGCTTATACAAGAGACAGAACTCCAAAGAAAATAAGCTAACAAACGTGATAGGCTCCCAGAGCCAAGCAACCAAAAGCATGAAGACCCAATCAGCTAATGCGACCAAGACCATTGCCCACAGAACTTCCATACAAACCGACAACAGGCATGCGGCGGCCAGTCTTCAGAAGAAGGCTCCCCCAGCCACTATACAGCGCACCAAAGTTCCGATTAGCGCGTCGTCTTCCATGACAAGGACTGCAGCAGCAAAGCTGAGTGGCAGGAGTGATGAAACCGCGAAGAAACCTCAGATAGACGTTAAGAAAGCAGTCAGGCGTTCCACAGCCAGCAGCATGGCAGCCAGCAGCATGGCAGCCAGCAGCACGGCTGCTACCAGAACGGTGCAGAGCTCCATTGAGCCGAAGCTGCAGAAGAAGATGAAGGACAACATGAACGAATCCAATTCGACCAGTGGCAGTACCAGTGCCAGCGGCTCTTCGAACAGCACTCGACACAGCGTGCGCTCGGTAACGGTCAGCCAGAAGACCGACAAGGATTTGGCCAACCTAAAGCTGTCGGAGAAGAAAAGGGAACCGTCCACATCGTCATCGGCATCGGCATCGACTTCGACTGTGCGCGTGCACAGGGAACCGACAGCGACAACCGCCGCTGTTAGCACCGTGCTCGTTGATGACGACTGTGAGGTGATAACCATACGTTCCATTAAATCAAGCGATAGTACAAAAAGTTCTACCTCATCATCCTCCGGTAGCGGCAGCAACAGTCGCAAGGTGCTAACCAGCGAGGTTTTCACTAAGACCTTCGGCCCCGATCGGCCCCTAGAGGTTGTCTACCGACAGCCCGAGTTCGATGTAGAACACCACACCATCATGTCCGTGCGACCTCCCTCCACAAACGAGCAGCAGCGGTGCATTAACGAGTTTGATGTTAGCTTTATCGATACCACCGATTCCAGTCTTTCCGACTCCGTAGCACTGCCAATGTTCGCCCCTGGCGAACCGGAGCGCCTGCTGGCCGCCAGTCCCGGCTCTCCCAAGCCGACCCGTAGTCCCCTAGCCCTCGTCGAGGAGACGTTGCGCCGCCAGCAGCAGCACCAACACCTTCACCAGCCGCATCCGCAGACCCAGCAGCCCCATCACCACAGTGCAGTCGTGTCAGGGGCAGGACCAGGGCCTGGGGCAGGACTGGGACTAGGTGCCTCTTCCCTAGACCCTTCGCTGCAGCTGCATGTGGAGAGCGGCAGCATTGTGTTGGAGACTAAGGTGGAGAAGAGCAGCACATCCAAAGGTAAATATGGGAAGCTACTTGATGTTAGGCATAGAGCACTTTGAACTTTGATCTTATGAATAGCTTAGCTACGATACCCATCACACTCAGGGCTCAGATTCCAAATGCAACTTTTCTTATTGATATACCCGTACATACTGTTTATGAATTGCTTTCACTTAATCTAACTTTAACTTGTTCTCCACAAATAGCAAACACAAAAACCAAAATCCAATAACTAAATACAAATAAAATACCATAAGCCCACCACTAAACGAAAGGAAACAAAACAAAACAAAAAGAAAACGAAACCCAAACCCAAACCCAAACCTAATATTAAATCCAACAAAATGTCTAAGAAACTCCCAACTATATCCGTAACTGCCGATCATCACTCGTCGCATTCCGATGCATCCTCATCATCGTCATCCCGCGACTCCGACAGCAATGACATGGACTATGGCCGCAATGGGGCAGGCGGCGTAACCGATGTAGAAGACTTTGACAGCCAGGCAGAGGTGCTGAAGCCCAGTTCGCGACGTGGCTCCGCTAGTGCTGGACCCAAGCCCAAACAGCAAAAGGCCAACCCATTCGACAACGATGTGACAGATGTGGAGGACTATGACACCGAATCGGAGGACGAGGAGAAGAGCGTCGCCTATCCAGAACTAAAACTGTCGCTGCGGGAGTTCTTGCAGCAGGGCCTACAGAACCAGGAGGCCCTCGACCAGGATGGCAAGGAGAGATGCGAAATAAGAGACGGGGACTTCCTGCAAGCACAAAACCTCAATGGCCTGGCCGACTATCTGACCGACTGCGAAGATTATGAAACCGACTCTGAGGTGGACTACGGCTGCGAGAAGTCCGTTTGTGTGGATCTGGACCATGCCGTGGGCGATCTGGGACGCGTCAATATAGCCGATGGCGAGAAGAACCAGGACGACTCCGATGAGTACGAAGATGTGTCCGTGATCAGCGACATTAGTGACTTGGCCACGGCCATGTCCGACTGCACAGGCATCGGTGTTCGCGGCATGTCCGAGGACGAGGTGCTTGAGGTATCTGACAGCGGCAACGAGGAGGTTTGCCAGATCGCCTGCTCGGGCAGTGAGTCCGACTCGGAGCAAGGGGCAGCCGGAGGTCAGAGTGTAAGTGAAAGCAGCTATCCCATCGATGTGGCCTTCTTCAGCGTCACTGGACAGCCCCGTCGCAACTCCAAATCCACATTGCCCATGCCTGGGCAGCATCACTTTCTCCAACCGGCGGCCGTGCACGAGGAGGTGCTCACCGACGTTGAGGGCATCGATGACTCGGCAGCGGAGGACAGCTTTGACAATGAGGAGGACGACGAGCAGCCCATTCCACGTGCCGTCATCCTGGCTGCTGGCGACGATGGCACCTGTCTGACCGACATTGAGGACATGTGGTGCGAGGACTCGTCGCTAGCCAGCACTGTGCCGGAAGCCATAGCAGTGTCGTCGGAGGCTTTGCCGTTGCCGCATCGCGAGGTTGTGCAGCTGAAGGAGGACAAGAACGGAGACACCATCACAAATGTCATGCCCATGGACAGCAACTACGAGTTTGGCATCTACAACCACCTAAAAGATGCCGTCCACACGGACTCCGAGGACTACTCGTGCGCCGAAGACTGGAGTCTGAGTCACTCAGTCGCTGAAGAGGCTGCGGTGGCCGGGCCAGGTCTGATCGAGAATGAGGTCATCGTGTCCAATGAGCTGATGAAGCAGCAGCAGAACAAACGCCTGGAGGTCCACTCAAACGCCGAGTCCGTAACCGATGTGGAGGAAATATTCGTAGACGGGACGAACCGTCGCAAGAAGTTGAAGACACGCACTCTGAGCAAAGGCAAGAACAAACTGCTGGATGTGGCCAAGGCCAAGGAGGAGGGCGTCACCGATTGCGAGGACATGGACCTGAGTGAGTGCGACCTGCCCCCTGGAGTAAGGAGCGTGGAGCAACTGAAGCACCAGGCCAAGGGTTCGAACCACTCAAACAAGCTCACCGATACCGAGGACATATCCACCGACGATGTGTCCGATATCTCCGATAGTTCCGATCCACCACCACCCCCAGCGTGCAACAAGAGCAAGCAGCCGCTCCACATGCGCCTGCTCAAGGGGGATGTGGTGAGCCAGCAGAATACGGACACCGAAGACGTTCAGCTGCCGTCGGAGGCCGAAGACGGGCTCGAGGAGCCGCCAGTCATCCTAGTGGCGAACAGCGACAGCAAGGAGCTGAACGACATGCTGAATGAGAGCTACACCGTGGTGCACGAGAAGAGTGGCCGCAGCTTCAACAGCGAGTCCGAGAAGCTGCACATAAAAGGCATTATTCGTGATGCCCATACTGACGTTGAGTATGTGGAGTCCGACGAATCAGCCGCCAGAGGAGGCAACTAGTGTCTTCTCCGTGCCGCCCTGGTCCGCTCCGATACGGTGCCAGCTGTTGATAAAAAGGCATCTCAACAATAGTTCATAAGTGCTCATTGATACGACAGTCCTACTGACTTAACCCAACACATACACTCAAACTCAAGCATTTTGTAAGTAAAGCCAACAACAAATACCAAGCATTTTCATTCAAGTTATCGCCACGCCACACTCAAGCAAAAGCAGCAAAAAGCCTGATCCCAACTCGCATTGCCACCATCCCTTTGCCCCGTGTCTGTGCCCCGTGTCATACTAACCGTTACTACATACTAACCAACCAAAGTTCAACTAACATTGACAATACACTGTTCTTCCTAGTGGTACTCGTACTAACGCTAACAGAAACGTTCTTTGGAATCCGTTTTTGTTTTGCCTTATGAACTTGCCTTATCAGTTGTGTGTGTAATTCATTCCATTATCATTTCGTTTGTAGCGTAAATTAATGTAGCCCTTAGGTCACTTTTGTGTTTCCTATCCCCACAATCAGTTGAATGTATCTAATCGTTGTCCTGTCTGTTGCAGAAACCCTTCAGGAAAAATTAGTCGACACATCCATTCTGGATACCGAAACGATCTCACAGGAAATCGGTAAGTAATCCCCAACTATACTATGTATGTAAATATAGAAAATACTCGTATTTGTGTTGTTTGCAAACATTCCATAATGCTTCATTGAGTAATTAAATCTTATTAGTTTACAAAATGCAATTAAAGCTCATTGAGACAACCAATTGACCAGATTCGACTCAATGCTAAAGATCTCACGTTTCACTTCACCAATCCACCAATCACCGCCATCTCGTATAGCTCGTATATCTCGTTTATCGTATCTGGTATCTGCTATCACACCACGCTAACCTTAAACCGCACTTACTCTACTCACCATCGATGCACCACTCGCTTCTCATGCTCTTCATGATTTCCCAGCTTGCTTTTCCGATCTCATTCGATCTGTAACTCTATCTGTCCAATTTCTACCTATCTACCAATGAATCTGTGAAATTGTCTTGCAGGTGATGTTAAAGTTGGTGGTGGTGAAGGTGGCCGTGGAGGTGATGGTGATGATGATGGTGCAGATCTTGTGGCACGCATTCGCGAGGAAGCCACTATCCTGGTGGATAGTGTGCTCGAAGAGAGCGTTGAGATCATTGAGAGCCAAGGCATTGACCAGCAGCACCAGGCCAATGGCCACGAGTTCGTTAAGCAGGAATACAACTCGGAGAGTGATAACTATGCCATCACATGCGACGACATTGACGGCGTTGATGTCATCAAATCGCCCACAATCGAGTCCATGTCGGGCAAGTCATTCGATGATAACATGAGCTTCACCGACGAGCACATACACTTACCCTTGCATGTCCAAAACATAGCCGCCACGACCACAGTAACCACTCAATACCAACAGCAACAGGCGCAGTCGCACTCCCAAGCTGCTGCCACAACCTCATCAACGGCAAAAGGTAAAATACATACTATCCCGTGTAGAGTCTTAGAGCTTTGCGCTAGTCATACGATAGAATACTAGAAGATAGGATCGTTGCTGGCACTAGGCGAACTACTACTATAACCCATTCTGTTGCTTAGACCGTTGGCTATAACCGTTCTCCCGTATTGTTTGCTCCCATTCCCGTTGCCATGTGTCATGTACCAGAAACCGTACCCGAACCCGAAACAATGCCAGTAACAGAACCAGTACCAGTACCAGTACCTGTAGTGTCTAGTCAAGATCAAACCGAAGACGAATCAGAGGCGCGTGCGAGACGCATCGAGCGCAAGATTGAGAAGCTATCCACTGACATGGACGATGTGAGTGCGAAGTTCGATGAGGCTTTCGAGTCGGCTGTGCCCGAGGATGAGATCAGTGCACTTCAGGGCGATTTTTCCAAGCTCAGCTGGGACGACAGCGTGTCGCCTACGACCAACACAATGGCCGATATGGCCCAGAACCAGATAACCCCCGACAATGACATTCAAGAGCTGACCGCAGGTATCATAAGCAAATGCGAATAACCAATGCTTTCATAATGTACATACATACAGTATTTAGTATAGTATCGTATTGCTGATCCATTGCTGATGCGTATAGAGCGTACAGACAGCATACCTCTAGAATCTAGATGCTTATGCGTGTGTGAAGTGGTGTCGAAGTGGCGGCCAATAATGACTTTTTGTTCAAGTTGAGCTCTAATTGCATTTATCCTATTCCTATTCAGTTGTTGGTTTAGTTTGTACTCATGTTAACTCACATGGAAATATGCATGTCGAATCACCTATCATCCTCACTCTTACTCTACTTCCATCTCTATGAACCTATCTCAATCTATCTATCATTCTATCTACTCGTATCTTATGCTAACCAATCAACATATACATATACTCCTACTCGTACTCGTACTCGAATGCATTAACCTCTGTTAATTCACCCTGTTCTGTTTACTGTTTCCTGTTTCCTATTTCCTATCCTCTATAATCTTAATCGATTGTGTTTACTCTTTCTCATCTTTTGTTCTCGACTTTCACAACACTTTTAAAACTGCTTTTGTTTTCACACCTATTGTTTTGTAGAAACAGGCGGCGATTTACCAATCTCAAGTGATACCACTCCCGTACCACTGTCGGCCGTTGTGGCAGCCACAGTCGCCACAGACAAAGAAATACCAGATGAGCCGGCGGTAGAATCCACTACCACCAGCCACGACACACCCACACCAAAGCCACGAGTACTCAAAGCCAGCTCCCCCGTTTCCGAAGTCCCCGGCACCGATATCGACAGCACCACCACCACGATCCCCAGCCATGTGCAAAAGCCCGACATACCGATCGATATAAGTTTTGATGCCGCCGCACCAGTCCCAAAGCCACGCGCTCCCATCAAGCATACGGAACCATCCGAGAATCTGGCCGCCTTGGCCGAACAGTCCGACAGCATTAGCCTGCGAAGCTTTGAGTTTACGGAAGACCTCTCCAAGACGGACGAGCCCTCCACAGAGCTGTCCATCCGATCCCAGCTGCGTGATGTGGTCACAACCACAACCGCCACCACCACAGCCTCGGAGGATCACACGGAGAGCTTCGAGCCGACGAGCGAGATATCCGTAGACGATGCTGACACTGAGAAGTCGGAGGCTGCCGAGAAGACCACCAGCTTTTATATCGGCGAATCGAGCCGGAATGTCATCACCAAGACCACAGCGAAGTCAGCCGGTAACACACCCCAGGATGAAGAGGCCGCTACGGACATTGGCATCGACGCCAAGGACATATCGCTGATGAAGGAGGTGTCCGTGGACTCGGACGAGACCAATGACGTGTTTAAGGAGTACGTGACGATGAAACGTGACGATGCTGAGGCCGTGGATAGCAAGATAGTCAGGCAGGGTTCCGAGACCCGAAATGATATCTTAGAGTTTGAGAATGCCGACAAGGAGAAGGCTGGTGAGCCAATTCTCACCAAGGTAACAACGGAGGAGAGCCTAACCACGTCCACCGGCTCCAGTGGTCGGGCAATCATAGAGGTAGCGCCTTCGAGCAGCGAAGACCCCGATGAGTCCGGCAAGGAAATTCCCGAAATAGTTAACACAATATCCTCCACAGAACGGTTTGAACTGCCACTGGAGAAGAGTGAGTGGGAGATATCTGAGAAGGAAATCCCCAGTGCGGGCAAGCCTAAGGTGGTGCACTCGCCGCAGCAACAGCAAGCCACCACCGGAACAGACATCGTTGAGGAATCGCTGGCCAGTGAAGCCAGTCTCGAACCCCAGGACTCTCTAGATTCAGCCAAGACTGATCAAAGAGACGGAAAATTTAACGAAGAATCCCCAGCCGGTTTCGAGTTCGAGACAATGCCCCACGCTTTTGCCACCGGTGCTGAGAGCGGAGATATATCGTCCTTCATCGGCATACCTGACATGCAAACGTCAACATTGGACAGTACCCAGCCCCCAGAGGGCCTATTCGATACCACAATCAGGGAGACCCTGAATAAGCAGGCGGCCATGGCGCACTATGCTCAAGACGTGTTCGGACGCGTGGAGAGGCGTGATGATCACGGATCCCTGGGGTTCGTATCCACTGGCACCGCCGAAGAACTAAGCTCGATGGAGGAGCATATGGCGAAAGAAGAGCAGGCCTCTCTTGGCTTTATATCTACGGAGACGGCAGAGGACTTTAGCTCCATGGAGGACTACTACACGGAAAAGTTAACCACTGCCAGCTTGGTGGCAGAGGAAATTGCTGCCGACAAGTCCATCACCACCAGCAGCTTCGAAGAGGTGACATCGGACCAGTCCATTCGGCCGGTCGATGTGGTGGTTCATCGGCTGAAGACCGAATCATCGCCGGACTCGACCAACCGCTGGTCCATACCCGACGTAGACAATTCCAGCTCCAGCGAGAGCTACCACAAGAGCTTCGACAAAACCCAGAGTCGACCCCTGTCCTCTGACATGGACATCCTACTGACGGCCACCGGCACTGGCACCGGCACCTCCAGCGAATACCAGACTGCTCGCGATTCCACCTGTCGCGAGGGCACCGAGTACGTGAGTGCACTCAGCACTCTGAACAGCAGCAGTGGTCAGACAATTAGCTCGCACGAGAGCATGCGCAGCTTCGACTCGCAGTCGGAGACTTCGGCCAATCTGGCCAGTATCGATGTGTCCGAGCTGTCGGAGACATTGGTGGCCTCCTCAGCGGAGGCAGATCCCTTTGATTCGGAGGAAATGAGTCGCCTGCGTGACCTGCAAGCCGATGATGATGACAGCGATGAGAGCGTAGAACTGCCAGGCTCCTCGTATCCGACTAACGAGCAGCAGAGCTTGATGAAGCGATCCCAGGAAATGATTTTCAAGCCCAAAACAGAGGCGGATGAACAGCCTGCCATCGAGTCAATCCAAATCGAAGAGTATCCCAAGCCCAAAGAGGCCGAACGCACCTGGGGCCTGGCCTATCCAATGGAGGACAGCAAGGCCGATAGTCCCCATGAGAGCGAGAGGGCCGAGGACATATTGATGTATCACGGTGACCCCAGGCGATCCATTGACGACTCCAAGCTGGCCTCAAGCCTGGACGAGGGCAGCATTCTGTCGGTCAGCATGTCCAGTACCTCCAACATCGACACCGTTGTGGAGAACTTTGATGACATTATCGGATCGGCAGGCTCGTCGTCGCTCACCGGCATCGAGGGCTTCCAATATGGACACGACGAACCAATGCCCTCTGCCTCCGTGCCGGAGGATGCCACATTCATGCTGGAGATGGAGAGCAAAGAGCATTCTCCGCAGGACTCGAATGCCAGTACGCCACCGGGCGGAGAGTCGAAGAGACGTGGCCACAAGCGCAACGAGAGTATCTCCGGAGATGCCTTGAAGAACCTGGAGAAGGAGGTGGCTTTGCTGGGCGAGGGCAAAGAGTCGGAGAGTGAATCGGACACAGATCCCTACGAGTCCGAGTATGCGCGCCAATTCCGCTCGCCCAAGGAGCGCAAGAGCAAGAAAAAGAAGCAGGCAGCTGCCGAGATGGATCACAGTGCGGAGCTGGAGAAGCGTCCGTTCACCCCGTCCCAGCTGGTGGCAGAGATCATAGTGGAAGACGCGACTGAGGAGTTGGAGGCGGAGGCAGCCATGATTGAGGAGCGTCGTCCCTCACAGAACATGCAGGACTACTCGAAAATACCCGATATCATGGTAACGGAGGACGTTAAGTCGCCGATTTTGGAAGAGGAGGCGGACGACTTCCCCGAGAAGTCCTTGTATAAAGTACGCACCGAGGAGGAGCTGCATAAGGCAAGCGATACCTCTGTGTACGAAAAGGCCAAAGCCGAAGAGAAGGAGCAGGACTTCCAGAGACGGGTCCAGGAACAGTACAGACAGAAACTGGAGGAGCTGAAGCGTGCCGAGGTCGGTGCGGAGTATGATGATCGCAAAGCCCCCGATTCGCCAGACTCCTTTGAAATGGTCGAGCAGCCGGACATATCGGACGAGTTCGTCATTATTGAGGAGGTGGCCAAGGAGGCCAACGAAGTGGATCTCGGCGGCAAGAGCATCAAGATAGCTCCGATCAAGTACGAGCAGAAGCACGACTCTGACGTTGAGAAGATCATCACCAAGTCGGCCCCAGCGGACCCCAAGCTGGGATCCCAGCTGTACAAGGATGATCTCAACTTTGAGTTCGAGGAGAGTCCGCCCACGGGCGCCAGCAGTAGCAGCGATCAGCAGGAGGAGAGCGACTCCAGCGATACGGCGGCAGCCAACAAGCGGTGGGTGGAGATGCAGCTGACGGACAACCAGCTGCGATATCCCTACGACCTAACTGGCGGCGTGCTGGAGGATATTAAGGAGGAGGATGGGGAGTTTGAGGTCGGCAGTAGTCGCATCAGCAGCTTCAAGGACTCATTCTCGAGCACACCCGAATACGATGTGATGGCCGCGCGACGGTACCACTCCCGCGGCGAGCACGACGATGTGTCCATGAGCAGTCTGCAGGAGTTCGAGTCCCTGGAGCAGGCCATTTCGTTGGAGAACCGCAACCGCACCCACCAGGGCTCCACGGACTCGAGCAACGGCAGCTTCACACGTCGCTACGTGGTCCGACACAGTGGAAGTGGAACTGCGCCCGGCGACGATGTGTCCATATCCAGTCTAAAGGAGTTCGAGGGTCTGGAGAATGCCTGCATTGAAGCCCATCTCATTGAGATCAAGGCCAGGGAGGAGGCGGCGCTGCTCTCACGGTCCGATGAATCGAACAAATCGAATGGCAGCGACAAAGGAGCCGCTGGCAACATGGTGGTAACCAAGGTGACCCGCACAGTTACCCGCACCGAAGTGGTGCCCTCGGGCCAAGCGGAAAACATTGAAGCCCTGCTCAAACAGAAGCTGGAGCGAGAGGAGGGTGACAGTAAGCCGGGATCGGCATCGGTAAAGATGGCCGACCTTACCGGCACTGAACTGGAGACCAAGTCGAAGATCGATAGTCAAGACTCCGAAAAGGACAGCATCGATAGCATGGAGATCAGCAAGAGCCACGACATGATGACGAGCAGCATTGAGAGCTTTGACATCTCAAAGGATGCCACCACGCGATCCGACATTGATTCCCTGGAGATTGATAAACGCCACTCGCGCCAGGAGAGCATCGAGTCGTTCGGTGACGAGCAGCTCGATCTGATGACCAAGTTTGTCAGCGGCGGAGGAGTCACACTGGGAGATGGTTTGACGACCACCACCACAACCACCACTACCAGCACTGATGCCGATGGGCATGAGCACACTGTGACGCGGGTGATAACCACAACGACTGTAGGTGGCGGGGTCCAGGAACTGCCTCTGGATGAGAGCGGCATGTCGAAGGACGTGTCCATAGACTCCCTGAACCTCTGCGTGGAGCAGACGACCAGCTCGGCTGGCACCACGGCGACGTATCAGACCAGCGCAGGTAACTCGCAAATGTCCGGCAGCATCACAAGCTGTGCCTCCAGCACGCTCATGGAGGACTCGTTCCCTGGTGTGGGTGCCATGTCGTCGTCGCAAATGTCTGCTAGTTTCTGGTCGCACGACGAGTCCACGGTGGTCGAGGATGAGGGCGACCAAGTGAAGAAGCAGCAGCAAGGCCAGTAAGGCCAGTGGCGCAGGATGGGAGAGAGAGATTACTCGTACATACCTAGACGTATATGAAAATGGGGCTTGAACAGAGACATAGAATATTTGGCTAGGTAAGCATCCCGAGGCCAGGCTTCGCGGCTTTATGTTCTTTGATTTCTTTTTGTTTGTGTCTTTACTTGGTCTTCGATATAGAAGCAGAGCTCAACTTTGAAAGATAAAAGTAATACTCGCCGCCCCGCCCCTTGCCAGCATTCGTGATATTAAACAATTTTCTTCTCCTTCTAATCTTACAGACAAGGCGCACTTCTAGGGGAAACACAAACCGATGAAGTACTCTCTGGAAGGGCTGCAGTAGCATCTGAACATCACCGATTTCAAATCGAAAACCGAAAAGCGTACAGCATAATAATTAACTAGACAATTTGACATTTTCCATCTACATACACACACATTTTTAATGATATTGAGCTGCATACCCGAGTTTTTAAATGCAAATATATATATTTTATATATTTATAAAAACTATAAAATCGCAAACATGAATATGGCACTAGCTGTTCAACGCATTTTCTTATTGGCTTTAATGTTTAAAAATTAAATAAAAGCGAATGCTTTATGCTGCAGCGTCGTAATGGAATACACCTTTGCTTTTAATTTGATGTAGTTATTATCTATGTATATGTACGAAGGATATTATTAAATGAATCGCTTATTATTGTAGTTTAATTTAAGCAATTATACAAGAGCATGTGTAAACGGGGACGTAATGAAATAGTAGTCAAAGCCTGGAAAGTGAAATGCTTTTAAAGTCTCATTTTTTTACAAGAACCAAGCAAATTTACGCTTGCATATTTTAACTTGACATATACATAAATATACAATTTGAGAAACCATACATAGATCAAATTTAAACCACATGTACGAACAATATAGTATGGCGATTATTCACTTGAACCTACCACTCAAAACAGCCCAGGACGTGTATCGCTAATTTTCGTAATGCACATCTTGCGTGTATTCGTCAAAATACCTACTTATTGAAAGGATTTAAACGTTTTAACATCACCACTGTAATGGGATATAAATAAAATAATATTTGTGTTAAAAACATACAAGAAATATTACCAAAAAAAGAACATTATTGTATTGTAAACCACACGCGTACGAATAACCAAATAAAATGCTTAATAAAAATCGCTGTGTCTTTTTAATATTATTTATTCTTTTAACAAATTAGAGAATATCATTAGTTTTCCATGCTTTCATTTCGATCGCGGCACATCGATCGGACGGGAAACGGCATTAAAAGCAAGTCAAATAAATTAAAGAACCATGGAATACTTTTGGGGGTTGGTTTTATTTAAAACGAGAAGGAACGTGTGAGTCGCTTCTGGGGACGCGACTCTACCTATACCCGTACCACTAACCATACAGTATATAGATGTGTCCGTTTCTTACAACGAAGTTTTAGATTAGCGGTAGGGTATTTTGGCTATGTGATCTTTGATTCTGACTTGGAGCATTCAGAGTACTCACTTCTCGGTGTGCCAGCAGCAGTCGGCACTCAACTCTATAACGTAAAAAAAAACGGAAGCGAAAAAACCCTTGAAAACGCGTAATTTTCGTTTGAATTGTTCAATTTGTAAGCAATAACAAAGCTACGCATTGCTTTTAGCTAATTGCATTCTAATTTTTACATTTTTCCCTTTATTTTACATTTTTGTCAGCGATAAATTATAATTTATCGTTTCATATCAGTCAGATTTTGTCAGCGAGCAATTCGAATTTTTCGTTTCATATCAGTCAGCTTTTGTCAGCGAGCAATTAGCAGTAAGGGTATAAAAACTATGTGCACAAAATACTAGAAACAAGAAAAAAACGAGAAAAAAGAGAAGCAGTGACCTTCTGCTGATTTCTGTGCGCCTGGTATCTCAGCGGTGATGAGAGTGAAAGCAGAAAATGAGAAAAATTAGGTCGAAAAGAGAGCAACAAATTTCTGAGAGATACCAGGCGAACAGAAATCAGCAGAAGGCCGCTCCACTTTCCACCGCTCAAATGGCAGAAAACCGTTAAATTCAAATCTGAGATACCAGGCGAACAGAAATCAGCAGAAGGTTGCTGGTTTTTTTAATTGATCGTTTTTTCTTGTTTCTCTTTGTATTTCGTTGCTCTCTCTTTTCGATCTGATTTCTCTCATTTTCTGCCTCCACCTTCCACCGCTCAAATGGCAGAAAGCCGTTAAATTCAAATCTGAGATACCAGGCGCACAGAAATCAGCAGAAGATCGCTGGTTTTTTAAATTCTCTTTTTTTCTTGTTTCTCTTTGTATTTAGTTGCTCTCTCTTTTCGATCTAAATTCTCTCATTTTCTGCCTCCACCTTCCACCGCTCAAATGGCAGAAAACCGTTAAATTCAAATCTGAGATACCAGGCGCACAGAAATCAGCAGAAGGTCGCTGGTTTTAGAATTCCTCGTTTTTTCTTGTTTCTCCTTGTATTTTGTTGATCTCTCTTTTCGTCCTAATTTCTCTCATTTTCTGCCTCCCCTCAAATGGCAGAAAACCGTTAAATTCAAATCTGAGATACCAGGCGCACAGAAATCAGCAGAAGGTCACTGCTTTTTAAAATTAAATTCTCGTTTTTTCTTGTTTCTCTTTGTATTTCGTTGCTCTCTATTTTCGCTCTTCTTTTTCTCATTTTCTGCCTCCACTTTCCACCGCTCAAATGGCAGAAAACCGTTAAATTCAAATCTGAGATACCAGGCGCACAGAAATCAGCAGAAGGTCGCTGCTTTTTTAAATTCTCGTTTTTTCTTGTTTCTCTTTGTATTTCGTTGCTCTCTCTTTTCGCTCTTCTTTTTCTCATTTTCTACCTCCACTTTCCACTGCTCAAATGGCAGAAAACCGTTAAATTCAAATCTGAGATACCAGGCGCACAGAAATCAGTAGAAGGTCGCTGCCTTTTTAAATTCTCGTGTTTTCTTGTTTCTCTTTGTATTTCGTTGCTCTCTCTTTTCGCTCTTCTTTTTCTCATTTTCTACCTCCACTTTCCACTGCTCAAATGGCAGAAAACCGTTAAATTCAAATCTGAGATACCAGGCGCACAGAAATCAGCAGAAGGTCGCTGCTTTTTTAAATTCTCGTTTTTTCTTGTTTCTATTTGTATTTCGTTGCTCTCTCTTTTCGCTCTTCTTTTTCTCATTTTCTACCTCCACTTTCCACTGCTCAAATGGCAGAAAACCGTTAAATTCAAATCTGAGATACCAGGCGCACAGAAATCAGCAGAAGGTCGCTGGTTTTTTTTAATTGTCGTTTTTTCTTGTTTCTCTTTGTATTTCGTTGCTCTCTATTTTCTTTCTTCTTTTCTCATTTTCTGCCTCCACTTTCCACCGCTCAAATGTCAGAAAACCGTTAAATTCAAATCTGAGATACCAGGCGCACAGAAATAAGCAGAAGGTCGCTGCCTTTTTAAATTCTCGTTTTTTCTTGTTTCTCTTTGTATTTCGTTGCTCTCTCTTTTCGCTCTTCTTTTTCTCATTTTCTACCTCCACTTTCCACTGCTCAAATGGCAGAAAACCGTTAAATTCAAATCTGAGATACCAGGCGCACAGAAATCAGCAGAAGGTCGCTGGTTTTTTATATTGTCGTTTTTTCTTGTTTCTCTTTGTATTTCGTTGCTCTCTCTTTTCGCTCTTCTTTTTCTCATTTTCTACCTCCACTTTCCACTGCTCAAATGGCAGAAAACCGTTAAATTCAAATCTGAGATACCAGGCGCACAGAAATCAGCAGAAGGTCGCTGCCTTTTAAAATTCTCGTTTTTTCTTGTTTCTCTTTGTATTTCGTTGCTCTCTCTTTTCGCTCTTCTTTTTCTCATTTTCTACCTCCACTTTCCATCGCTCAAATGGCAGAAAACCGTTAAATTCAAATCTGAGATACCAGGCGAACAGAAATCAGCAGAAGGTCGCTGCTTTTTTAAATTAAATTCTCGTTTTTTCTTGTTTCTCTTTGTATTTCGTTGCTCTCTCTTTTCGCACTTCTTTTTCTCATTCTCTACCTCCACTTTCCACTGCTCAAATGGCAGAAAACCGTTAAATTAAAATCTGAGATACCAGGCGCACAGAAATCAGCAGAAGGTCGCTGGTTTTTTTTAATTGTCGTTTTTTCTTGTTTCTCTTTGTATTTCATTGCTCTCTCATTTCGCTCTTCTTTTTCTAATTTTCTACCTCCACTTTCCACCGCTCAAATGGCAGAAAACCGTTAAATTCAAATCTGAGATACCAGGCGCACAGAAATCAGCAGAAGGTCGCTGGTTTTTTTTAATTGTCGTTTTTTCTTGTTTCTCTTTGTATTTCATTGCTCTCTCATTTCGCTCTTCTTTTTCTCATTTTCTGCCTCCACTTTCCACCGCTCAAATGGCAGAAAAACGTTAAATTCAAATCTGAGATACCAGGCGCACAGAAATAAGGACTAAACAAAATCGAGGATTTTCTTCCGATCACAAGGACACGTACGCGTAGGACACGAATGAAAAATGACAGAGAAAGGTAAGTATTTAAGACTGGGGAAAATGTCCTTGATCCTTGGTCCTTTATAAGGACTCCACAAAATCGAGGATTTTCTTCCGATCACGAGGACACGTACGCGTAGGACACGAATGAAAAATGACAGAGAAAGGTAAGTATTTAAGACTGGGGAAAATATCCTTGATCCTTGGTCCTTTATAAGGACTCCACAAAATCGAGGACTTTCTTCCGATCACGAGGACACGAACGCGTAGGACACGAATGAAAAATGACAGAGAAAAGTAAGTATTTCAGACTGGGGGAAATATCCTTGATCCTTGGTCCTTCAAAAGGCCTCAAAAAATCGAGGACTTTCTTCCGATCAGGAGGACACGTACGCGTAGGACACGAATGAAAAATGACAGAGAAAAGTAAGTATTTAAGACTGGGGAAAATATCCTTGATCCTTGGTCCTTTATAAGGACTCCCAAATGAGGATTTTCTTCCGATCACGAGGACACGTACGCGTAGGACACGAATGAAAAATGACAGAGAAAAGTAAGTATTTAAGACTGGGGAAAATATCCTTGATCCTTGGTCCTTTATAAGGACTCCACAAAATCGAGGATTTTCTTCTGATCACGAGGTCACGTACGCGTAGGACACGAATGAAAAATTACAGAGAAAAGTAAGTATTTAAGACTTGGGAAAATATCCTTGATCCTTGGTCCTTTATAAGGACTCCACAAAATCGAGGATTTTCTTCCGATCACAAGGACACGTACGCGTAGGACACGAATGAAAAATGAAAGAGAAAGGTAAGTATTTAAGACTGGGGAAAATATCCTTGATCCTTGGTTTTTATAAGGACTCCACAAAATCGAGGATTTTCTTCCGATCACGAGGACACGTACGCGTAGGACACGAATGAAAAATGACAGAGAAAAGTAAGTATTTCAGACTGGGGGAATTATCCTTGATCCTTGGTCCTTCATAAGGACTCAAAAAAATCGAGGACTTTCTTCCGATCAGGAGGACACGTACAGAGAAAAGTAAGTATTGCAGACTGGGGGAAATATCCTTGATCCTTGGTCCTTCAAAAGGACTCAAAAAATCGAGTACTTTCTTCCGATCACGAGGACACGTACGCGTAGGACACGAATGAAAAATGAAAGAGAAAAGTAAGTGGGGAAAATATCCTTGATCCTTGGTCTTCTCGACCTTCTGCTGATTTCTGTGCGCCTGGTATCTCAGATTTGAATTTAACGGTTTTCTGCCATTTGAGCAGTGGAAAGTGGAGGTAGAAAATGAGAAAAAGAAGAGCGAAATGAGAGAGCAATGAAATACAAAGAGAAACAAGAAAAAACGACAATTAAAAAAAACCAGCGACCTTCTGCTGATTTCTGTGCGCCTGGTATCTCAGATTTGAATTTAACGTTTTTCTGCCATTTGAGCGGTGGAAAGTGGAGGCAGAAAATGAGAAAAAGAAGAGCGAAATGAGAGAGCAACGAAATACAAAGAGAAACAAGAAAAAAACGATAATTAAAAAAAACCAGCGACCTTCTGCTGATTTCTGTGCGCCTGGTATCTCAGATTTGAATTTAACGGTTTTCTGCCATTTGAGCAGTGAAAAGTGGAGGTAGAAAATGAGAAAAAGAAGTGCGAAAAGAGAGAGCAACGAAATACAAAGAGAAACAAGAAAAAACGAGAATTTAAAAAGGCAGCGACCTTCTACTGATTTCTGTGCGCCTGGTATCTCAGATTTGAATATAACGGTTTTCTGCCATTTGAGCAGTGGAAAGTGGAGGTAGAAAATGAGAAAAAGAAGAGCGAAAAGAGAGAGCAACGAAATACAAAGAGAAACAAGAAAAAAAGAGAATTTATAAAACCAGCGACCTTCTGCTGATTTCTGTGCGCCTAGTATCTCAGATTTGAATTTAACGGTTTTCTGCCATTTGAGCAGTGGAAAGTGGAGGTAGAAAATGAGAAAAAGAAGAGCGAAATGAGAGAGCAACGAAATACAAAGAGAAACAAGAAAAAACGAGGAATTAAAAAAACCAGATACCTTCTGCTGATTTCTGTTCGCCTGGTATCTCAGATTTGAATTTAACGGTTTTCTGCCATTTGAGCGGTGGAAAGTGGAGGCAGAAAATGAGAAAAAGTAGGTTGATAAAAGAGAGCAACGAAATACAAAGAGAAACAAGAACAAAAGAGAAATTAAAAAAAGGAGCGATCTTCTGCTGATTTCTGTGCGCCTGGTATCTCAGATTTGAATTTAACGGTTTTCTGCCATTTGAGCGGTGGAAGGTGGAGGCAGAAAATGAGAGAAATTAGATCGAAAAGAGAGAGCAACGAAATAGAAAGAGAAACAAGAAAAAACGATAAATTAAAAAAAAACCAGCGACCTTCTGCAGATTTCTGTTTGCCTGGTATCTCAGATTTGAATTTAACGGTTTTCTGCCATTTGAGCGGTAGAAAGTGGAGCCATAAAATGAGAGAATTTAGATCGAAAAAAGAGAGCAGCGAAATACAAAGAGAAACAAGAAAAAACGGTATGCGCCTGGTATGTCAGATTTGAATTTAACGGATTTCTGCCATTTGAGCGGTGGAAAGTGGAGGCAGAAAATGAGAAAAAGAAGAAAGAAAAGAGAGAGCAATGAAATACAAAGAGAAACCTTCTGCTGATTTCTGTTCGCCTGGTATCTCAGGCGTTTTCGTTTCTTATCAGTCAGCTTTTGTCAGCGAGTAATTAGAATTTTTCTTTTCATATCAGTCAGCTTCTGTCAATGAGGCTTCCTGTGATCGGGGAAAGATCCTTGATTTAATGGAGTCCTTTCCAAGGACCAGGGATATCAACAATCAACATATTTAGTTTTATCAGCCATATGTTGGCCAACATACATATGCGTGCGATGACTTTCTGTGATCGGAAAAATATCCCTGATTTGCTGGTCTTTATCAAGGATCAAGAATTTTTTACCCAGTCGTAACAAATTTTTCCTCAGTGCGTGCTTAAAGTATACTTTATCATAAAAAGTTAGTCTGCAGAATGTAAAAAATGTACACAATTTATTTGAGTTATTTTTATTATGCTGACATTTCTCACATAGATATACCATATTTTGTCACTTAAACTCATTATTCATTTCAATTTTCGCGCAATACGTATGTGCCTGTTTCGGTTCGAATTTAAAATTAGATAAATTTAAGAATTTTGGAATTGTTTGGAACACAATTCATCAGTTTCAGTGGTATGCACACTTATGTCTATGCGAAATGAAAGTAGAAAATACACATGGAAAAGGCTGTTGAATACCTAACTAAAAATCTAATTCACTCTGCCTGGTCGGCCTGTTTTTGTTTTTGATTGTGGTTTACCATTAGACGGTAGCATTTTTTTTTCGTAAATTATAAATAAATGTATTGCAAAGTGGCGTTGAACATAACAAATGCAGCGCCGCCCGGCTTTGCTTTTGACTTAAGCCTTAAATGTTGTGAACTTAAACGTCTAGGAGTCTCTAAAACATAATTACTTGCTGCATTATTCAAATCAATCTGGTTCTCGCTCTCGCTTCCTTCGATGCGCATAGGATTAAGCATATTATGTGAAAATGTACAAGGCAAAGAGCAATACAAGTTATCTTTAAACTAAAATTAGGCAATACAAAGTTATCTTCAAACTAAAATTAGGCATTATCCATAGTGTGTAAAGTAAAATGTACAAATGTTGCTATTTATATAAACAAGCTAGCGCGTTCTCCGCTTTCGCATTGCATATGCCGCATGTCATGCAGGATTGCCATAACTGTTGCTATACCTATCCTTGAGTTGTGTGTGTGTGTGTGTGTGTGTCTGTATGAATGGGTGTTGTTCTTGTATAGTCGATGTTCTAGGGGGCGACTCTCTCTTCAACTCCCATTCTGATCTTTGCATATTTACCAAAGTTTTAGTGCTACAAGAGTGCTACAGAAACGCAGTCTGCCCCTCTTCTTGGTCAGTGCGAAGAGCGGCAGATGCTTCCGAGGCCAAGGCCGTGAATGAAAATATGTATCATAAACGCATTCCGAAATGATGTATGATTATTTTGAAATATGTTCACAAGCCTATTATCGAGTCAAGTTTCAATTTTGGTTTATCATGTTCTCACATATTCAAGTGCCATATAAATCTGATTTCATATATATGTATATAAATAGGTGTAATCATGATTTTTGCAGTGAAGAGGGAAACGTTACGTTGCGGTGCTTACAATTAGGTGAGGTCTGCTCGTAGGTGCATTTGACTATAGTATGGTATAGTATGATATCGCTTGCACTACCATAAGAACATTCATTGACGTTTAAAATTAAAGTAAATATACAAAGCAACCGAGGGTTAATGGGAGTCGAACTTAGCTTAAGTCAAAATGTACATGGTTGTGCGTAGTGTTTGTGTGTGTGTGTGTTTGTGGGGGGAGTATGGGTTGTGTTATGGCTGTCTGACAGAACGCAAAGGTATGACAAAAGTACACAAAATGAATGGAACATATGCAAATTTTGCTGAGTAGTTAACATTTAAAACCGCCTGGCTGATTGCCCGTCCATAAGTTCTTAAGCCTAAGCGTATAGCGTGCACTCGATGTAACTCGTGGGCACAAAGCCCTCGTCCCAGCCATTGGAATCGTTAGCACGCCGCACTCGCGTCCAGCCATCACCCTGATCGATCTCAATCACCTGCAGCTCTTCGCCCTCGTTCATGGGTATGCTTCCTTCGCTGGAGGCTGTTCAAAAAGACACAAAGATGTTTATTGTTCCAATCAATGAGTCAATCCCAACTAACCTTCAAAGGGATACAGGGCTCGACATGTGCCCAGTGGCTGCAGGGGCTCCACTTCCGTCTCAAAGTACGCATCCTCGCCAATGGCATTCTCGTTGGCGCTTCCCTGTCCAGAGCCAGGCAGAGATGTGTGCGACGTGCCCAGGCCACTCTCGGGACTTGCCGAACTGCTGGATTTCACCATGGAAAAGGCAAAATGAAACGAAATATTTGAAGAAGTTGCAATTTCAACATTATTAAGTGTTGTAATGTTCGGTGTAAAGCAATCAAGAATCGAAATCAAAAATAAAAGCAATAATTTTAAACTACAAATTAGAAAACAGAGCAGATTCATTTTAAAATTTTGTATCGCTGGCATATTTTTGTGTGCTCGTTCTGGATGTTATTTCTTGTAAAATGATAAACCGAAAAAAGGGAATGGGAACGGAACCGAAACCAAGGATAAGTGCAATGAGCAATGTACAGTATGAGATGCCAAAATTATAAATGCTACGATAATGTATGTATGTGGTGTGGGTGAGATAAATAGTATATGTATAAACATTGAACGTAGACTTATGAGTGTACCCGTTATTGTTATTATTATGCCCATTTTGTATTTGCGCCACATTATCCTCAGAACCTGACCTGCTTAAGCTGCCAGCATCGTCAGGCTGGTCATCGCCCTCGTCGTGATGATCATCGGCGCTGCCATTGGAATGTCTGCGGGTGAATAAACACACAAAGATCACGATTAGTTGATCCATATATCAGAGCTATGGGATATCATTTATTCAGTCGCAGCTCACCTCGATGTTCGGTGTCCGTTCTGTAATTGATTTCGATTCGCCTGCGGACTATTGTTGGCCACCTGCGCTTGATTGGCCCTCTCAAAGTAGCCCTGAAACTTTTTCAGATCAATTTTCAGCTTTTCCAGCTTATGTTCCGATTCGTTCAGTTGTCCCTCAACGGTCATGGGGTTGCCCAGCGATGAGTTCGTCTCATAGACGATTTTCATCTTCATCAGGCCATCCCGGGCATTCGTCTCCTGTGCAATTTTCTGCTGCAGCTCCGCTATCTTCGCCTGAAGCTTCTTTCTTTGCTGATTCGGTGGCAGATCACTGAAGTCCTCCTTTTGTCCGTCCGCAGTTAGGGAGTTCTAATGATGATTAAAACACATGATTAGTTAAGAGAATCAGGCGACACATATCAGGATATAAATGAATGAATAAACGGACATCAAGACATCCACAAGACAACAACAATAACAACAACAACGGTTGTAGCACGCAGTGAGTAAAACAGAAGATCAACAGATAAAATAAAGGCAACAGGCGCCAATCAAACAATCAACTAAATATATGTATAAATAAATTATGCAAATGGAACACAATGGGAAAATAGCTTCTAGATTTAATCGGTGGAGCATTCATTCAATTCAAATCATGCGGAGGAATTTCTCAAAAGAGCTAATGACACATAAAAAAAATATAAAAAAACTCATAGCATCGTAAAAATAATACAAAATTACAATTAGAAATGATGATAATATGGATAATGTGTGAGTGTGCTAGTAGCTAAGACATTTCTCAAAGATTTCGACTTGTTTAATGGGTAGTTTGTTTATTTTTAGAGCTCGAACTAAGAATATGCCGATCGTTTAAAGTGAAAGTTTTGCTCAGAGACTGCTATTATTATTATTAATTAATGGAAAACGAACGACAGTCGATAGTGGCTGGTGGCTAGTGACTAGTGATTGGTTAGCTGTTGTGATTAGTTGATAGCGTGGATAGAGTGTTGTAATTAAGAGCAATCATATGTAAATGGTAGGATAGTTAAGGCTAGGCTTAGTTAGAACTAGTAAATTAGTTGGTTTGGTGTTATTTATTTAGTTTAGTTAGGGATAGTTAGAGCTGAAAGATTCATCATACCTTCATCGTGATACAGGCTTCAATTATCTGCCGTTGCTATTGGCAGCGAATTGATTTAGTATTCATATTCAAATACATATTTTTAGTTTTGCAATTTGAGTGTTTTGTTTGTGTGTGTTTTGTGTGAGTAAAAGCATTTTGGATTCGGTTTTAAAATCGAATGGCAGCAACGAAAATGGAAATCAAGAGTTTATACAATTAATATTTTTGCAGTGTTATCAAAGAAGCTTTCGGTTTTTTGTTGGTGGGTATTTTTTATCTGGGTGCGTATAGGGCGGGAAACAACTCAAAATCAAAGCGTTGGCGCACAAAAATATTAGTAAATGAGAGAAGGAAAACATGGCTTGGATGGCAATTCATATGCAAACGGGAAGACAATCAATGTGGGAAATGGCGCGGGTATGTATAGCGAGTATATGGAATCAGTCTTGTGGGGTGAGGGATGGCACGAATAGAACACGAGAAAATACGGCCTGGCCTGTAGGACTGGACTCTTGGTACTTACAGTAGAGACACAGACAGAGACCATGGTCCAGGCGTAAATTAAAGTGGTAAATGGTAATCGATTCGAGATAGAACGGAAAAGAGATAGAACACTGGATGAGTAAACTATAAAGAGAGAGACACACACCACACATAAACCATAACAGAGGCCTACGACTTATGGATAGACAACTTAGAAACTAAAAGATCACGAAGCGACTCAACTCAAGAGGCTCTGGGTGCACTGAAAGGAACGGACATGTGTGGGGGGATAAACTGAAAACTCCCATCGACAGAAAGATAGAGAGACAGTGAGAGAGAGAGAAAGAGAGATTCAGGCAGAAACGAGGCTAAAACGATGGTACAACAGCCATAAACCTATCCTAGAATCGACCACGGATCCCCTCACCTTGTTGCTGCCGAATATGTTGAAGATGCCGACGCGTTTCTTGATCTTGTTGGCACTCATCGTGCCTCGCATCGTCAGGTGGTTCGACATGGAATTGCTGTAGTGATCCTGTAAGGAGTCCGGATCGAGTTTGGACAGATCCTCGAAGGGTATGTCCGTTGGGGGCGTGAAACCCGATTGGTATCTGTAGAAAAGAAAACAAATATTAGAAATGCAATGACATACGAGTGGATTGATTGATGGTTGAACCTTTCTATGACTTTGAATGAATCCTCCTTCTCGTTGATGGACTCTCCCGCCTTGACAATCCCCTCCATGCAGCGGGCAATGATGGGTGCCACCGAGGACTCCACTTCCGCTGCCCCAATGATGAACTCACGTATGCCACGGGTGCGCTTCTCGTCCAGCTCCTGCAGTCGACTCAAGACAGCGGGCAGCAGGATGCTAAAATGCTGTTGCTGCAGATTGTTCGTCTTCTGCAGCTGATTGGCGTACTCGTTCTTGGCATCGTCCGACTGCTGAATCTTCGACGTCATGATGTTCTTGTAGCGCTCCACCTCGGCACGACTCAGATTGAGATCCATGTCGGCCTTTTTGTAGTTATCGACAGCCTTCTCCGAGTCCCTGTATGCCTTCTCGTAGTTCCGCTTGGCCCGCTCCAGCGATGAGAGCTGTGTGGTGAGGTTCTGTTGCAGCATTGCACCATCGCTAAGGCATTTCTGTAAGGACATATTTATATAGTATATTCACTATAATCTGTAATCAGGGTAATATTTCATGCACCACTCACCTTGCGATCATCGCGCAGCGTTTTAGATAGCAGCGTCACACCCTGTATGATCTGTAGCTGCAGGGACTCGGACACCACTTCACGCTGTCCCGCCAGGTCGCCCACTTCCTTGAGCAGATTGCGAAACGCTTGCATCGATGTAAATCTGTAATAAAGAGAACATGTGGATATCAGTTCATTCGTCGCAATAAGCTATAGCCCATAGGCTATAGGCCCCCTGCCCACGACAGTTCGCGCCTCTGGCAAGCTACTCTTCTACTTTCAGCCCATTCCATTGTCGGGAAGCAATTTATGGAGCTCTCAGATTGACAGAGTTGGACACGCGCTTTGTGACGCGCCACAGAACGCCCACGCCTCGGTATGTCTGTCGCTGTCTGTATGTCTGTCATCGCTGCGGCACTCTCTATATGGCTGGAGGATAAATTTATGGATTTTACAACTGAATAAGGCACAAGCGCTTGGCATTTCATTACCAAAGTCAACTTCAACTTGGCTATGGCTTCATTGTCATGTTACACACATGCCACGCAGAGCAGAGCCCCAATCCAACATCCAAGCAGATCTATTTGCGGGTCATGATGTCAGTTATTCGCATACTATTTGCATGGCATGTAATTAAAAGCTGAGAGATTCTCAGACCACACACACGCACACTGAATGGAATGTATGAATGTGAATCTGGTCTCTCCGACACGCACAATTAGAGCAGTCTGAGAGATCTGAACCAGATCCCAAGCGACCGACTTGCCCCACAAATAATGCCCAAAATCCGAAGCAAAATGCAACAAAGTGTCGATAATTTTCCATGACATTTAACAAACATTAAACTTAAATATACTATTTGTTTTGTTTTGTTGGTGCTTACTCATTGTCTTCCTCCTCCTTCTTTTTGGGCTGGTAATTTTTTACTAGGCGCCTGCAAAGAAAAAGGAAAATCAAAATCAAAATCATGGCATTAGTGAAACTTTGTTTATGCAAAAAGAGAGAAAGATAAATACAAAATATAATCGCAATACTAGTAAGTGGTAGAAGAGGAGGAGCATTTGCATTAAACACGATACTTTTCATCGCACACGCAAGAGCTACAGATTTCACTCTGCGCTCCGCATATTAATAGAGTTTTTCCCCATTTTCCATTGGGAGTCCATTGCCGTCTGCTTTGTGGTCTAGTTGGTAGATGAACGCAGTACATAGATGCTGCTGGGAAAGGCAGAGGCCGAGGCAGATACAGATATATGAAGCGCCAGCTTCAGACCACAACTAGAGCTTTAGAGACGCGTAATGATAAAGTCATTAAAACGACGTCAAGACGGTAGCTTCCAGCGGTATCACACAGGGGCCACAGTTCACTCTCAGCCAACAGACAGCTTCGGTAGCATAGCGGTGGCGGCGGTGGCAGTCATCAAGCCAACTCATTGGGGGAACTGTGGGAACTGCCAGACACTCGGACAGACAGAGGACAGACAGGCAGTGGGAAACCGATAGCATTCCCAACGAACCAACCAACCAACAGCCTCGGTCTTGTGGTCTTCCCAACACCTTGACAACGTCAGCGACTCCGGCAATATAATCTTTGCTTAAATTAAACAATTATGAAGACCCACGCCAACACCAGCACAGCCATTCGTTCGTTGGGTAATTGGCGGGGCTTGTCAGAGTCCGAGTAACTCAAGCCTAATCACATTAAGTCCCCCACATGTCCATGGGGGCACTCAATGGGGAGGGGACTCCCTGACGGTGTGGCAGTTGCGTCGCGTGTCAATTGCGTGGGGCAGGTCGTGGTCAGATCATGTTGGCTTCACTTCCAGAGGGTGTCACTCAATTGTGCAATTTAGAGCCGCCTCAAGGGGTTGCAACCGGTTGGTCCGACCCTTCCTGACGTTCAGATGGAGGTGCGGCTTTCGAAAATTCTTTTCCTTCCATAAAAATTACTGCATATACTCGTACTCATTTCGTATCAACGGCAATTGAAATGCGACGCTAGTAAACGAAACACTCATTCAAACAATGAACACAATTAGCTTTTAGATATTTACGATAATTTTTATGCTTCTCTCCGTTCTACGAAGGTCTCACGGAGCGACAAAGATAAAGACACGTTTTAAGCCTCAAGAAAATTGATTTCAGGAACGGACCCCGTGTGACGTAGACAGTGCAATCACTTCCACAAGTGCCACAGAGTGGACGACCTTGTGCTTATTCGTATAGCGAGTGCACGACTCTTATTTTTTTACTTTACGATTTTTACATTAATGAGAACTCCATAAACCCCAGAGAGACGCAGACCCAGAGAGATATTTGGAATTTGGTGAGATATTTGACAGCAGCTGCATGCCACAAATGGGTGAGGCCTCCATACACAAAAAAAAACTAAACACAAAATATTTATGTTTAATTGGCTTTTTGTTGGGGCCATAAACGGAGGCGCCGCCTGACGCTCAGAGACTTGAAAAATAATCCCCAGAAATGTATATTTTATTTCAAAATATTTTCGATCCCAAATTCCGTATAAATTCAAATGATTTTTATCGGTTAAAACTCACCTTAATTTGCCGGCATATTCCGTTTCTATGGCCACGCGATCACGCAGAAAATTGGCATACTTGTCCAGCGCATCGATGCCTCTGTTTGTGTGTATCGCTAGATTATCATTTTGATCCTGGAAATAGAAATGGACACATGGTATGGATTAGAGAGCAGTCAGTAGTCAGATATCTCGAGTGGAAGAGTCGAAAAAAATCCCACTTAATGCCTTTTGACATTGAGCCAACGAAATTAATCTAAATATTTTAATTACTTAAGAAAGAAACTGCGTAGCAAATAGCAAATGGATTTTATGGATAAAGATCGGCAATACATACATGTGTACATACATATGTATGTATGTAAGCACGCATTTGCAGAGAGTGATGCCTGAGAGCGAGAGTTGACGTGTTCAGCATAGTGTTTCCCATTAATTCTGTTGTTGCTGAGAGAGCAAAAAAAAAGGAATTTCTGAGAGAGAGAGAGTGAGCAATGTAATGAAGAACTTGCGAGAGTCTTTCTGGGTATTGATTGAGTGGAGCAAAGCTCCTAGATCAAATGCAGATCAAGAGATAAGAAAATTGAGACTGCACTGCGCTCCCCTACAGAATATGCAAACAAAAATGCAAGAACAAGCGAGAGAGCCATAGAAAGAACGGTTATTGCTGCTTCTGATATTGTATAGTGAATGGAAACACTTCACTTCAGAGAGAGGAGCTCCAAAAGTCGATCCATTAACTCATTAGCCATAAAGAGCGCGATATGGTTGACAATTTTAAGTGATTTGGTTTTAAATTATCGTCTGCTCCATTCGTTAGGAGATCGTTAGTGTTTACCGCTGACACAAATATGGGCAGCAGCCACTTCCTCCTCAACGGGAAAAAAAAGTTATGATATAATATATCGCGTCTATCTAGCTCTGTCTCTGTTTCTGCCTCTCTATCTGTAACTCTCTTTTGTGGGCAATTTGCAACACTTTTCAATACCGTTTGTCAATACAACAGAAACCAAACAGACAACAGAGAAACAACAATACAAACAAACAGCGCTGCGCTGCGCTCCACTTTTGATTTTATTTTCGCACGCATGCGAAAGGTACAAAAACAACAGCAAAAATAGTGGCAAAGAGACATCAAAAGAGGCTGCCGTGTGGCCGAGTTAGCTGCCAATCACGCCCCCAAACGCAATCATCGATGATGGCAGCAGACAGCAGATTTGAATGTTAAGTAAACCTCCTCAACATGCATAGAAAACCCATAGAAAAGTTTTGCCAATTTGCATGTGAAGTTCAGGCTGAGAGCGAGAGAAAGAGAGAGAAGTCACTGTACCCTGTACGAACCTAGTCTCTACTCTTCCAACGACTCCGCCTCCGCTTACTCCTCCTCATCGTCTGTCAAAAAATTAACATCAATTACATAATGAAACCCAGTTCCGAGACACAATTCGGTTGCGGCTTAAATGAGCGTTAAATTGTTGTTGAAAATGTACGTTTTCTGTTGCTTCTCTTTTTTGGTTTTTGGTTGTTTTTTCTGCGCTTCTTCCGTGGCATTGCAAAATTTCTATATGTATGTATGTAATTTGGTTTCAATGTTTTATGTGAAGCGATTATATTAATTTCTGTGCTGTGGCTGTTCCTCCACTGCAAAGTTGTTTTTCTTTCGTTTTGTGAACAAGGTTGCACAGTGAAATTTGGCAACGTGGCCCAGGCATTCGATTTTCACTCAATTTTGTCGATCGTGAAATTAATTAAACATTAAAACAATTTCATTTCAAATGCGTTTGTAGAATTTCGGTTGATTTTTTAATTCGCTTTTTTGTCGTGGAATTGCGTCACACCCACCGAGGGGAAAGGGGTAGGGGGAAAACTTTCACCCGCCTCAAGGTGCGGCACCACAAATGGAAACACATTTCTTGTGTTTGTGTGTGTCTGTGTGTGTGTGTGGAAAAGTGTCAATACAGAGAGGGTTGCAGCAGCAGGAGGCCGTTGGCCATAAGATCATGTGGGTGTTTTTTTTTTTACAGTCCTGCATCTTGGCCTATAAACATCCATCCATCTGTCACTTGCCGGTGGCCTAAACCCATTTCTTGCTTGCATAATCGAATGGAATACGTTCCTTGCAGCGACAGCGACGGAGCGGAGAGGAGTGGAGTGCCTTTCCATCCAGCCCCGTTCAAATCAAATTAATTTACTTTTCACAACGACTGGTGCGGCTCTGCGGCTGCGCTTGCGCAATATCCTCGCCTCTAGTGGGAAAAAGCTGTGTGTGTTTTCCAATCAATGGTTTGATGTGCTGTGCTGTGCTTTGTGTGTGTTTGTGCTAGTTTTTCCATGTTGTCTGATTAAATGGAATGGCAAATTGTTTGCCGTTTGTCTGCGTCCGCCATTCAGCAGCCATTAGCGCCATTGATTTATATAAATACATATCTAGTTAATACAGATTTGAAATGGTACAAAATGCATTTATTAAGATAATAGTTATGCTGTTGTTTCCCCCCATCGATGCATCGATTGGTTATGAGGTGAGAAAGGAATTTCTATGTCCGTAGTCCATTGATTGATTAGAATGGATTTCCCATTCCCCATTCCCATTTATGCTGCGCGGCTGTCGCTCATTCCATCCCCACAAATGTGACGACGACGACTGAGACATTGATGGACGGACTCGACGACTCTCGAAGGTTATTTTTGCCAATCGGATCGCATTCCGCTGACCTTGACCGCCTCGAGAGATCAGATCACAAAGCGAACCAGCGAATGATTGGATCTGGGCATATAAGGAATGAAAAAAAAAAAAATTTGAGGCATACATATAGTACGGTACGAGTATTTGTGTGTGTGTGTGGCATGAGGCAAGGGCCTGACAGCCACAGCCGATCTTAAAGATCGCAGATCAGAGTAGGAGTGAGAAGAGTTGAAGCACAAACATGTGGCACTTGAGGAGGGTCTTCGTTCAGGTTAATGACTCTCCAAAGACGACAAATATTTCTGGAAACTGGCATTTAAATAATTTTTATTTACAGACACAGCCGCCGCTGCCGAGATTAATGTGGCAATGTCCAAAAAAGCTGGCTATAATGAAGAGTCTCCCAACTAACAAGCTGGCCAATAAATCATGGCGAAAGTTTGCTCACAACAGCATCAGGCATCAGGCATCATCACGCGGGGGCATCAGATGTCACAAAAGTTTATTAGCAGAAAACCGAGAGACACAAATATCCAATCCCGATTCCAGTCAGAGAGGAGGATTGGATGGATAGACTGACTTTCACTTGGAAGACACAACTTAACCGTCAGTCAAATTCAATTAACAAAATGTAACAGGCGGCAATCGTAAGAATCGAAGCAACAAAACACACAAAAATGACAATAAAAATCAATAAAGAAATTAACAAATTGCTGGAGGGAAAAAAAGTGTTAAATTCGATTGAAGATTGTCATCGTGATTGTTGATTGCTGTTGAGGTTTGTTTTCTTTATTAAATGGTACCCACGGACGTGCGAGCAATCAATGCGGAATGCGTGGCAGAATGTGTGGCAGAGTGTGGAATGTGCTGTTGGGGCACCCATTTGCCCAAGGCACGGGCGCTCTGCTCAGTGGGTCAAGATTGAAGACTGATCCGATTGATTAAACGCATTTGTTCATTCCATTCCACTGCATTGCATTGCATTGTTGTTTGTTTCTTTTGTGGGTTTTCCATTTAATTTAATCGTGTATTGGATTCGTTTCGATTCATTTTCATGGGCTCGTGACATTCGATCAACGAATGAAACGAAACGAAAGAATCCAAAGGGAAAGTAGAACGGGGACGGGCACTGTCTTCATGTAGTAAATGCTGCTGTCAGCACAGTGCATGATAATCAAAAGTGTAAAGATTGACTGATTGATCGTTTTACTGTTGAACGAAAGTTTCGGGGAGGGAAGGAAGCAAGTATTTGAACCACAGAAAACCCCAAAGTTTATTATATCCCAATCGAAAACTACAACCGCATTAGGGGGGTTTCGTATCGATAATGGTTAGGCTGTCCGCAATCATAAAGGGCTGTTGCACAATCGTTGTTGCAACTGTAAAACGGTACAGCGATGCAGGAGGAAAATCTGCAATCTGTGGAGCCCTGTCAATGGTCTTTATGTAATGACTGCCTCATGGAACTTCAACTGTAACTGTAACTGCAACTGCAACTGTAACTCTTGTGGCAACTGCAACTCCCGATGAGGGTGTCAATTGAAGCAGAAAGCGTTGACGTCTGTCTGGCACAGCCCCTGGCAGCGATCGGTGGCACAATATGGATTCCTGTTTGCATTACAATTGCTGGCTGGCTGTCTGTCTGTCGGCCCCCCCGGAGGAGAGCACTCGACCAGAAACGTTGGCTTCCTTTTGGCTTTGGCTTTTGTTTTTGTTTTCTGGGTTTTTGGAATTCAATGATTAGGAGAGAGACCCAGTTTGAACGACCGACTAACCGACCAGAGCTACAGAGCCACAGAGCTGCTGGTGCTGCTGCTGAGAGCCAACGGCTATAACTGGGTAACAGGTGCACGGTGCACTGGTGCACTGGTGCACTGAAGGCGGGTTGTATGTATCTGGGACTGGGGCTGGGACTGGCGCTGGGGCTGGGGCAACGATTTTGTTACCACTTGAGAGTGGGTTTGCTTTGTGTGGTTTGCTTTTTCGAAGCCATAGGCAAATGGGGTGGTGGCTCAGACAGCGGCTCAGCAGAGCGTTTACACTGGAAAAAATGGCACTTAAAATTGCTCCATGGTTAATGAAAATTAGGGATTTCCTTCCCTCTGGCTCTCTCTCTCTCTCTCTCTCTGCATTCACTTTCCTTATGGGTATTCATGTATATTCATGAGTAATCCAAAGAGAACACCCATTAATTGTATGTGAACACATTCCTATCCAACTGAATCTTCTTCATGGCAAATGGATCTCCGTATATGCAATTCTATTGCATATTTTGTTGCAGTGCTGATTCCATAGAGGCAGTGGGGGCGGGGAATCAGCCGCTCTCCTCCTCTCTTTCAGTGGAAGTCAAGCAGCACGCGTTTTTTTATCTGCAGCGGACGTGGCACGCAAACAAGAACAGCAGCAACATCGTAATGCAGCTGATAAGCCAGTGCTGAGGGGGGGAGAGAGA